TTTTATAATTTTTTTTTAAACCTGAATCAATTTAATATGCAGTCTGAGAGAAGTGTCTTTTTTTATTTTTTATTTATATATATAGATTTTTTTTTTGTTGGCTAACTGAAGCATTCAACTGACAATAGTAATTGTGTGATATTACTAAACAGTTAAATACGAAAACAATATAAGAATTATTAAGCACGACTTTATCACATATGATTGACTAAAGCTATTCTAATTTATAATATTAACAATGTTATTATTAATTTAAAATATTTTATATGTAAGAGAGATCACAAATGTTAAGATAATATCTAATTATACATTGGATAATAATGGAAACCGTGGCAACTGTAACTATAGTAAAAGTTTGTCAAATCAAAATGTTGCAAATACAGTCATCTTTTTATCTCAGTCTTAAATATGATAACTAATTTTGTGCAAATTTTCTATTTATGGATTATTCCATCATAAAACTTAAGAGAACGACAAAAATAATTTCTATGTTTAATAATTTTAACACACTATATATAATAGTCCGTGGTACAGACCCCTTTTTATCGAATTATTAACATCCGCCTGAAACTTCGGAAATAGATACATCTCATTGTAACCTACAACTATTTTATTTACAAAAACTCTTGGAATTATGGCATTTTCAAACTTTGTCTATTTAATGAGGTATTAAAAACTCGTAAATATCCATTTGCTTTCTACTTTACATTCGCTTTCTACTTTACATTTGCTTTGCTCAAATACCCATTTGATTGTAAGATAATTTTATCACAAAATCGATAAAAAAGATGACCTATGAAAATATTGAACCATTTGTCCTATATAATCTCGTTATTATGAAAATTTAGTGGTGTAAGTCACGCCAAATGGCTCAATGTTTTTAAAGGCCAATTTTTTTTTTCTCGATTTTGTTATCTAATTATCTTACAATCCAAGTAGAAATTACATGGGTATTTATGAGTTTTTAGTACCTAATTAAATAGACAAAGTTTGCTCCCCCCCAGATTGAAAACGCCTCAATACCAACAGTATTTGTAACTAAAATAGTTGTAGGTTATGATGAGATGAAACTATTTACGAAGTTTTAAGCAGATGTTAATAATTCTATAAAAAGGGGTCTGTACCCCGGACTATAACTTAATGAAGAATTGTAGAATATAATAGATAATTTCATATTATTTCCTTTAATAATATGGGCCCCATATCTAGAAACTGACGCTAGAGTGGGAAGGCTGAGGTTCTATGGCCATATGATAAGGATGAATCCTGAAAGACTTAACCATAAAATCTTTCAGCGCATCCAGTCATAAGAATTTAAGCAGGTATTTTAAACAGATTAAGGATGATATGGACCAAGTGGGGCTAAGAGACCAAGATTGTTCAGACAAAGATGAGTACAGGAAGGCGCTCAAGAGAATAACGGTTCTTGCGGGAAAGAAGCGCTCCAAAAAGGGTGTTGCGTGGTCTGAGGAGAGAAAACGTAAGCACGCGGAGCTCATGAGGGGCATATGGGAGAAGAAGAGGAGGCAGATGAAGAGGAAGCATTAACATCATGGTATTCGTGTGGTCTTTAAGGCCTGTTCGTGAAAAAAAAAAAAAAAAAAAAAGGGCCTCATCTCATGGGCATGTATGGTCAGTAAATGGATGGGTAATCACTTATAATGGAATCCACCATGCTTTTCTTTTGAGTAAGTAAAATCTGTCATCCTACTTGAGACAACTGACACTGATGAATCTTACACATTTATTGTAATTAGCTGGGAATGGCGTCATGGTTTTCCAGGATGTCAATAGCCACCTGATAGTGTGTCCTTAAGAGAAAGGAAGATCCTTGTGCACACTGTGAACAGCCACAATCTATAGATCTAGACTGATTAGGTGCTATCCTTGAACCCGAGGGAGTTGATGGGAAAGATAAGTAGTAATAAAATATCTGGATGAACACCACATCACACAGCTGAAGATCTACAAGACGACAACTGCATTTCAGTGAATAAATTTTACAATTAAACTAAACTAAATTTCTACAATTAAACAGACTTTGTACTGAATATAGTGTGTTAAAATCTCTTTATTACAATTGTAAAGCTCTAAGTGTTGAAATGGTTACGTATTTTCTTAATGAAACCGGAGTATCATGAAAAATTAAAGTATAGATTTGAGTTTATTAATCACAGATGAGATAATTAACCAAATGAAATGTTGAAAGGCTCCTACCAATCTGTTCATATAAGTATTAAGCTCTATTTTGTAATAATTTAATGTTTAGTCGTAATAAAATTCTAATTTATGTTTTTGATATGGAATTGATTGATCACAGTATAAGAAATATTTTATCTACCTATTTTAGATATTCTCATTCTTTCTTATATAATTGATTGATATAAATGTGTTTTAAAAATTACATTATATTGTGAAGACCTCCATAAGAGAAAGAAAAAGATAGAGGTTAACTCAATACAAGGAAGAAGTAAAAAAAGAAAAATAGTCTAAAAAAATGATAGTAATAATAAACTTTGCAAATAAAGTTAAGCAGAATTAAGTTTAACAAGTCAATATTTTAAAAAACAAATGCTAAATTTTTTAAAGATTTTTCAAAACTGACTTTTTCAACAAATATCATTGACAGCTGATTTGTTGATTTAAAGACAAATTTCCATTATTTTCCAGCAACAGCATGGGGTAGATGCAATAACTATTATATAATGGTCTTATAAATTAACTTAGTACTATGACATATATTTTTTATTTTTTGTAAATGTAGCAAACAGTAATAAATATAAATTAAACAATCTTAATAATAAAAATACTTTACGTACTAAATCTCTGTATCTATCGTTAATTTAATAATGTGATGAGAAAAGAGTGAGAAACGATCACTATATCAATATTTGTATACAATCTAGTACTTGCTCCATAGCTTGCAATTAGTCTTTATTATAAGGAAAAATCTTTTAAAATATGCAACTACTTATAAAAGTTTTTTACTACTTATGGAAAAATAAAAATGACGATTCTAAAATTCTATGAAATAAAAGCAACTGTAATATTTGAAAAATATTCTCCAATCGATCAGTATCAAACAGTCAACCAATTTCGGAGATATCGCCAGCAATATACATCCTTTAACTGTTGCTAACAACCGATTGCTATTCATTTTAGAAAAAGTTGAATTCATAACCGACTGACTACTGTTAGCAAAAAGATTAATACAGTCTTAGCGATGAATATGAACAATGTCTCTATATATTGTTTACTTGTTACAGTAATGTTTGAAAAAGGTTTTGAATTATCGAAAATTAACTAGATGAACACAATTCATTTTATAAACAATAAAGAATTGAATATTTACAAATTATTTAGCCTTTAATCTTGTTCAAATCCATGAACTCTTTAACTCTTCCATCTCAGTGACTGAAAAGATTATAATTTAATATTTTTCATTGTTATAAAATTAAAAATTATCATTATGATTGTACATATATATTGTTTAATTATATCTGAATATTTTAAACAAAGAAAAAAAAATAGAAAATACCCTGTACCAAAATATGATTGCAAAGTCTTAAATAATTCCTTATTTCAATATTATTTTTATCAAGACATAATATAGTTGAACCTATATATATCAGAATTATGCATATTAACAAATACTCGATGAGAAATACTCGTTGATGAAGATTAGGAACATTAAAGAAAGAAATTCTAGATTCTAACATTAAAGAAAATTACTCGGGACAGAGCTATATCATGAGAATAAAGAAATGACTACGTCATGGGCTGCCAGTGCTTAGTCTAATACTTTTTAGCTTATAATACAGTTTCCTGTTCTGAAACTTCCGTCTAAGAAATATCTCTATTTTTTTTCTCTCATCCTATCATCTCGAATAAAAATATTTAGTTTAAAATGTATTTTATGAACTTTTATAAATGCATATTTATAAAGTAGAGCTAAGAGTGGTTTGAGAGTATTATGTTTGGCAGCAGTATACGTCACACAACAGTCGACTAAGGCTTCACCCCCAGTCTCAAACAAACCTTCCAGATCTACTGTTATTTGAAGTTTTTAGCTAAATATGAATTATTACATATGAATACGTGGAGAGATAAAAAGCAGATGGATAGATCAAATTAATATGCAATAAAGCTACATGCCGATAACTGGAAAGAAATAGCCCAAGACAAGAAGAGATGGAGTAAGGTTGCCAAGGCGGCAAAAGATCTATAAGGTCTGTAATGCGAATAGAAAAAAAAAAATCTTTTTAAACTTAAAAAGTATATTGTTAATTTCACTTTAATTCAATTTCAGCTGAAATGCGATTTTTTATCCATGCAAGTATCCTATTGAAGTTTAACGATAAAGAAAAAAAACCATCATTGTTTTTAAAAGCATTAACACAGCATATATAATTAGAAACAAGAAAAATCAATAAATTGTCATCCTATAGTTAAATGTTTTTACTTATATAGAGGTCCAACTGTATTTTTATTGTTAAAAATATATTAATTTCTTTTATTACTTTAAATTTAATGATTTTTATTGATATATCTTTTTAAATATAACAATTATTAAATAGAATGTTTAAGTTAAAAAATAAACAAACAAAAAAATTTAAATTGAGCATTGTGATATTTTTTGTTATATAAATAGATTAAAAAAGTATCTTTTTAGATCACTGCAACTTCTTATATCAACAAACGTGTTTGTAAATAAATAATAGCTGATATAATCATTCTCTATATAAATCAGATTTAAAGACTGCTTTCGATTATTGAAAAATAAAAAATAATAATCTGAAACAATAATTTTTACTCTTATATCCAAGGAAAGAAATGTTTTGAAGACTAAAATACTGTGAATTATTGTCGCGATAACAGGAAATATATACAGTTTGGTCATACAAAAATATTGACCAAAATGTATAATTATAATTCACAACCTAGAATAAATAAATAAACTGAAAAATTAAATATAAATGCGCAATAAAAAAACGAATCGATTCATATTCGTAATAATATAAATGAAAAATATTCAAAATATAAAAAGATGGTTATCTCGAAGTCGAAGGAAGCCCAATTAAGCCTGAAGAGCTGAGACGAGATGTTCTAGGCTCAATTTTTAGAGACAATTGGTACAATTCATCGTCGTCAAGAAGTAAAGACGTGTCCAAGAGGTAGTTTGTTACCTTACTAATCATTTCTATTTTATAAGGTGTCTGTTGAAAATGACGTATCTCACGAATTACATGCGCTATCTAAAATAAATATAAATAAAAAATTAATTAATTAAACATACCAATAAAACTAATAACACAGGAATAAAAAAATTATATTAGTGAATGAATGAATGAATGAATGAATGAAAATCATTTTATTATTCTGGGACTAGTGTCCCTTTAGAACAAATTACAAATACAGAATATATATTAATATTCTGGTGTGTCCATAAAATACAATTAAATATTTACAGGATAATTAGTAATAAAATAAAATTACAGATATAAAAACGTACATAAATATAAAATAAACAGAGAAAGTAAAATAAATAAACAAAATATCAATAAATCAAAAAATGATCAAAGTATCTGGGGGTACTTTGAGATTGTTACGACTTAGATTTTCAATTGCATTTCATGATCAACCGGATTGGAAATGGAGTAGGTGTTTGAAGATGAGAGATTTGAAAGAGGATACTGACTTTGTGTATCGAATATCAGAGGGGATAGAATTCCAGAGAGAGACAGCTTGAATTAAAAAGGATTTGTCAAACACAGCAGTTCAGTGAGGAGGATAGAGGTCGGACGTATGGGATCTGGAGGGACGGGATTGAAAGGAGCATTTGAATTGTAGAATCTGTAGAATATAGGAGGGTCGCTGAGTTCTAATAGCCTGGTATAGGAAGGTAGCAAGGAAATACTGACGGTGGTAGGACGGATAAAGCCACTTCAACTCGGTGTAAAACTGGGTAATATGCGTATCCCTTGAGATCTCGAAGATAAAGCGTATTGAGCAATTCATTAAATGTTTAAGTTTAGCTTCGAGTTCTCCTGAGTCTCAGAATGGGATGAATGAGAGAAAAAAGATGACTAAGTGAAAGTAAGAAAATTTATTGCCCGCATCACACAAGCTTCACTGTTTCCTCTACTTTTAACAGAAATTATTGTTTGACAAAATTAGGTTATGGCAAAAAGTTTTTGATCAGCAATATTGGAGGCTATTGAAATTTTTACACCGATCTACCTTAAGCCGGTTTACATTGCTTTAGTTTATCAAATAAATAGTACTCAAATCTTTTCTTTGATAAATTTTCAGGAAAATAAATTAATTCAATTTTTTTTTGTTTATTGATGGACATATGTAAAGATATAAAAACTTTTCTGAAATAGGTAGGAAAGCTGTGTGAGTGGACAAACCAGATGTTTTTTGTATAAATAAAAAAATAATTTGCTTACCATTCTCATTTTAGAAAAATTCAATAAACCATCCTGTGTGAAGTTTGGTGTACCTTCTTCAATAAACGAGAGGTCAGTCAGATACATTCCTAAATAAGGGATACAAGGAGGATCACAACGATGAAGGGCATCACGGAGATTTCTAAATCTTCCATCTGAAGAAACAATAGCCTGCAATTTTTCTATTGTTTGTTTTGTCTGAAAAATATATGTTTATAATTAAACTTTCTCATTGAGAAGTTTTAAATTAATTTTGAATGAATGGATGATTTATTGCTTATAAAGAACAACTTATAGCTAGGAGTTAGTTGTTTAACAATTCAAGAATAATTATTTAAATACAAAGTAATATTAAGTTCCATCAAATAAATTGAATACAATATATCGCCACTGTTAATGCGAAAGATTGTATGTAAAAATTTTACATCTTTATTATCTTTGTGCTAAAGGTGGTATTAACGCCACAGCATTAATTTATTTATTTTAAATAATAATTTATTTAATTGATAATTTGGTTTATTTCATCAAAATTAAATCAATTATTAATTATATATATTCATAGACCCATAGCTTATAAACAAGTGCTAGGTTCAAGCACTAAGGAATTAGATAATAGACGGTCTATTACTGAGCTCAATGCTGCTAAGCTTTATATTGCCCATCCCAGTTCTACTCTGAAGAGACCTACTTCTCTCGTCGTGCTTGCCGCTGCCCACTTGCAGTTTGATTATATGAGTGCTCATAAAAAATCTACATTTGGTCGCTGTTTTTGGCTTAAATTGCACGATCTTGATTTTTGTTCCATTAAATTGCACATTTTGTGCTAAATTAAATGATTGATAAATAAAAATATATATGTGTGTGTAAATATTTACTTTTTTATTGTACTATCTTGTCCATATTAAGTTTATAATTTAAGAAAGAAAAATATGAAGGAGATAAATAATTCTGTCACTGCCAAAGATTCAAATTTAAAGTTACAAAAGTATGAAGTAAACACTAGTGCAGACAGACTATTCTTGGAAAAGAACTTCCCTGAAGTAATTCAATAAAAAAACTACCTTCCTGGTTTTGACTTGAATTCTCACTGTTTCTCCAGTCCTTCAGTATTCCTTCCGGATTTGAAGTGAATCGTGGACTATAATGAATTCGGCATCAATAATATCCGATTCAACATTCATAAAATCACATTTGACAAATTTTCAGCAAACATTAACTCAGCTAGAATCTCTGAATTTGTCACTTAATAAATTAATTGGAATTATAGAAACTATAGGAGAAAATCTTAAAAAAATTAATAGTAAAATAGGAAAAATTACATCTCAAAAAGTTCACTTTGTAATAGAAAAAAATACAGGTTACATTCATAAAAAATATATATATAACGACTGCATTATTTTTTTTTTTGTGACACGGTATGTTAATTCAGAAGCTTAACGTTTGGTAGGATTTCGATGTATTAATATAATAAATTTAACAAAATAGATAATTTTGCATGTTTTAGGTGTAAATTAGACAATTTTACATATTTTGGGTTTTTACTGCATGATTTTGCACATTTTGAGTTTTTTGCTGTACGTTTTTTTGATTTTTAATGCACGAAGATCCAATCTCTAGTTATGATTAACAAATTGATGGACATTAATAATAAAACCACATATCTGAGTGTGGCTTTCCTTGGTGTGGGCGGTCACCCATTCAAGTGCTAACCATGCTCGGCATTGCTTAACTTTGATTATCTATTGCCAGTGCCTTAGCCCGCATGGCTACCCCAGCCCCATTATATGTGTATATATATATATATATATATATATATATATATATAAATATATATATATATATATATATATATATATATATATATACATATATATATATATATATATATATATATATAATATATATATATATATATATATATATATATATATATATTATATATATATATATAATATATATATATATATATATATATATAATGTCTCATTGGTGTTTTTACTTCTATTGTGTGGTATATATACGCTGTGTGCTTAAGGTAAATATATATATATATATATATATATGCCAATGAGGCAGGGTTAATATTAATATTATTATTAATAATATGACATATACATTTTTTTTTGTTCTATGTTTACAAAGTACTAACATTTACAACATATATAATTATAATTGTATATAAACTATTTTTTGAAGTGAAAACCTCTTTAGGTGCACTTAGCACTTTTTGTTTACGATTTGAATGTCCATTTGGTTTTTGACACTATTTCCTTTTTTGCCTCTCTAAAACTGAATCGCGCTAAGATAAGGTAGTAGTAGATATGGTAGTTTCTTCACAAGTTATTTTCAAAGGACTTGCCTCTTATTTAACATACAAACTTACAAAAATATAATATATGTAAAAGTACAATAATGTATAAAAATTTTCTTACAGTTTTTGAAACTTTTTCCCAAGTTTTCTTAAGCCTGTAGACTGCCGTGTTTGTAAATGCTGCACATACTTGTAAAACACCATTGAAATTGTGTAAGCACCTTGAAATATCTGCGACAGCAGCCCATTTTTCTATAGCTTGAATTCTTGCTGTTATGTTAGAACGGCGTACTATTTCAGAAACGACCAATTGAGAGACCTAATATAGACATTTAACCATCATAAAATATTTCTAATATAGACATGTAATCATCATAAAATATTTAACATCAATAATTGATTATTTTTTATTGTAAGAGTTATAGCTTATAAACAAGTTTTTTAATAAAAATAATAATAATTATTTGTTCATTCGCTATTGAGACATTTAATGGAGTAACCAAAACAATATATTTAAAAAAAAATAACTTTCACACGAGTGTTTTTCTTTTAATGGAAAAAAAAAAACATTAAACATTTTTTCACAGCTAACATTTAAGCATTCATTCAAAATTTTTATTTGGAGTGATTTGACCTTTCTTCATTTAATGATTCAGAGTGCATAAATGTATCATTTGAAATATTTTCTTTGTTTTGTGATATGAAAATGTTAATATCGTTTGCATGACAAGTTACTATAATTTTTTTCCAATAAAATACTTCAAATATATTTTATATGTTTCTAATAAATTATATGTGGTTTTCACATTAATTTATTGTTGTTTTTAAAATATCTTCACTAATTTGGCAATTTTGGCAATCTGGTACCACCAATCCTAATATATGGCTAAATTATTGAGATTGTACTGTACATATAAAAATTATAAACATAAACCATATATGAATATGGTTATTAAAAAGTAATACATAAGAGACATAATTTTTCTTGGCACAAAATATTATGTTCAATGCCTGCAGTGTTGATTTCAACTATAAATGAGTTAATATATTTTAAAATTTACTTTATCCTAAAGTTTTTCCATACTTAAAATTAAAACAAAGGTCTAAGAAGTAAAATCAAAATTTTTTAAAATTTATTTTAATGAAATTTACAACTGTATTACATAGAAAATACAACAAGTAAATGTGACAATGGTAACATGACATGTACAACATGAAGAGGAACTACCCATCGGTAGAACTCAAATTAAAGTTCTATATTAGAAGGTCCCGAGGCCATCTTCTTTTTAGACGCCTCGGAGGGTTATCAGGAATCGAGGAGGAAGCAAGGTTTGAAATGAGAGCATTCAGATGGTTCTGCAGTTTGTTATGGAAGGATAGGTATCTGGTTGGGCCAAATCGGAAACATATGGAACATTAAGGTCATTATGAATGATTTTATTTGTGACTATGTAAGGAGCGTTGAGGATTTTACGAAGGATTTTGGATTGTAAGGATTGGATACGAGAAAATCAAAATTAAAAGAATATTAAGAGTAATACGATAGAGTGATTTTTTTTTTATTGAGTTTATAGTGTAATAATTTATCAATTCCTGAACAAGTTTCACTTTATGCCTAGGTAAATTCAGAAATAAAATATTTTCAACATTACCTCATTGAATCGTCTTGTCATAAGAATTATATGAGGCGCTTTCGTAGCTTTATCAGTCTTCATCCAAGCTTGACCAAGGAACTCTCTGTGAAAATTAAAAATAATTTCGATCTTCTTTGAATTATGTTGGAATGAATAAATAAATAATAATATACATCGAGCAACTTTCTAATCTCAGTACTAATTCTATCGATGGAATCCATCAAGTTCCTAAACTCAGCACTGATTTCTTCGACAGAGATTTATACTGAGTTTAGGAAAAAACTGTTGAATTCCAGTGAAGGATCAACACTCCTGGAAGGTTATAAAACACATGAAAAATAAAGAATATGTATAAAGAAATACCTACTTACTCTATTGTTGAATTAAAAAAAAGAAATCAAAATATATTCAGAAAGAAAATTCAGAAATAACAACAAGGCTATAATGGGTTACATCCAACGAATCCATCCATCCTAAAAACCGAAAGATTCACTGAGCCATTGGTAATTTTGTCATATGAATAAAGAAATGATTTTCATCAGTGAGTTTAGAAACTTTCCCGCAGGGATTGATTGCTGTGCACAATTAATTGGATTTTACGGACCCCCAGGTATCCCAGTACAGTACATCGCACACACCTCACACCACAACAGTACACTACACACTTATACTGACATTAAGGACAATAACAATACACACCCTAGGGTCACCTCTCCTAGGTGATAATAGAGTCGTTCTACCGTACCAAGGTGAGTTCACTAGCAGACCTGCTGTCCTAGGGCCTAAGGACCTTCCTGCTGGACCAATTACTCCTATGGAAGTATTAAGGATTCATAGAAGTCAAAGAAGCCTCGGAAATGGACTGACAAAGCGGAAACAACATGGCAGGGAAAAGGACTTGAGAATTGGTACTTGGAATATAAAGACCATCGTGGGTAAGGAAGTTGAACTCGTGGAGGAGATCATAAAATACAGTATAGACATTCTTGGTATATCTGAGGTGAAAAGGAAAGGAATTGGAGAAGTGCGTTTGAATCAGAGAACACTCTCATTTATTCAGGAGTCCCTAAAGGGGAACATGCTAAAGAAGGAATCAGTTTTTTTTATTAAGGAAGAATTACACAAGAAAATGGAAGAATGGAAGGACGTCTCGCCTAGGATAATAACAGCCAATTTCCATCTATCTCCGGGTAAAATCACTATAGTACAAATTTATGCTCCAACTCAAGATTCCTCTGTAATAGAAAAGGAACAATTTTATTCAGGTTAAGGCCACTGATAGAACCAAAATTAGAAAAAGATCAGGCTGATTTCCAACCAGTGAGGCAAACGCAAGACCACATATTTGCTCTCAGAAATATTGTAGAAAAGGCATGGCATAGAAATCGAAGTATCTATATCGGTTTCTTAGACTTAAAGCCTTCGACTCAGTATCCTGATGTAAAATATGGAGAGCACTTTGAAGAAAGGGTATTCCCAAAGACCTTCTGGCAGCAATAAAATCTACATACGAAAGCTCCAAACGAATGGTGCGTATATGTGGCAGAGAGTCCAAGCCATTTCCGATGGAGCGAGGTGTGAAACAAGGAGACAGCTTGAGCCCATTATTGTTTATCACCTTTATGGACGAAATCCACAAAATATGCAGAAGAACTGCTTGGACTGCAGTAGGCATTTGGAACATGAGGATAGTTCAAGTGCAGGCATTCCTATATACAGACGATATCGTGCTGGTGACCGACTCCAAAGAAAAACTGCAACAGGCAGTTTATACCATAGAATGGCAGGAAGAACTCGCTCTTAAAGGAATGAGAATCAACAGCGGCAAGAGTAAGGTTATGACTGTAGCAAGAAATGAGGAGGATGTGGGAAATATAAGAATAACATGCAATGGAGAAGAGCTGGAGAATGTAGACTACTATACGTACCTTAGAACAATTGTTAATAAATCTGGGAAAATAGAACAAGAAGTTTCCAACAGGATAAAGAAAGCAAACAGTATATATTACCAGATTTGCAACACAATTGTGGGAAAAAGAGATAGGAAGGAATGTCAAACTCTACATCTATAAAGCAGTCTATCTCCCTACATTGTTTTATGGCAGCGAAAGCTGGGTCAGCCAAGACAAACACTTAGACAGGATTACGACTGCGGATAGTGGCTAGAGGCTCCTCCATGCTGAAAGGCACACAGGAGGAAGGAGAAGAAATTTAGAAACTTGCCCATAGTAATAAAATGAAAATAAAAAAATGTTAAAATTAAGTTTTATATAAAATATCCAACTTACTCGCTGCGAATAGACAGAAATATTTGGTGATCAACATATGTCATTTGTTCGGCTATCTCCAAAGCAGATAGGGTCTCTATATTTTCCTTACTAGGAGTCTGGAAGATAATAAAATATACATATATTTTTAATTTGATAAGAATTTATAAATCTATCCAAGCATATCTGAAATAATAAATCTAATGTACAATGTATTGTAACCTTGCAAGTTGTAATTTTTCCATCTCAAATTTAAACCCATCTTTTTAATTTATAACTATTTTTTATCATATAAATATGTGAGATATAAAAACTAAATTTAAAAATATTATTTAAAGTTGCCAACAAAATATCAATTTATATTTATATTTATAAAAGAATCTCAAATTCAATATGTAAAAGTTCAACTAGTATAAATAATATAAATCGATACCGGAGGTATAGCCAACAGCTGATCTAAGTCTACTCGACTACCAGCTGGTTCTTCCTTTGTAATCAGTCTTAAAAGTTGTGATGCTGCTTTATGTTCAGCTGGTAATAGATTTGGGCTACAAATTATATCTTCCAAAAATTCTATCGTGAGGCTCTTCAGTCTGACATCTTGTTCAAAGTCCTAGAAAATATAAGCAAAGAAATTTTTACATGAAGTTAATTTGAAATTTTTTTTTGAGCTAAATTTATGCTTATATCCCTGAGTAATGAGGGCTAAATTAACATTTAATATTAAAATAAACTAAGTACACAAGAGAAGGTTATCTGTGTTTCTTTTACGAATTTCTCTTAAAATCTTTCTTTTAATTAAGTGGATGTGCTTAGATAGGATGAAAGAGCTGATTATGATACAGCAATCATCATATTTATGACCTGTATATAATACGTATGAGTATGATATAACATATATCATATCAAGTATAACACTCACAGTTCATGCAAATGAGAGACCCCAACCCTTAGAACTTGCTAGGTATAAGAAATTTTACACCAGAAATGGCACTATATATCTATAATTTATACTTTTTTATAATGAGTAAGATAAAATAAAAATGTTTGGTTCCTGACTAATTATTTATTTATTCATCAATATTAATTTTAAATAATTTGTACATTTAACATTTTAAATACTAAAATCCACAATATCGGAGGCTTTATATGAAAATTGTAAGTTTCTATGATACATAAGTTTGTAAAAAAAGAGTGGGACAATACATGGTAATGACATTTTAGTAGCTAAAGTAATAATAAAATCACACTATTCTTTAATATTTCATTATGAAGAAATACTTCTTCACCATATAGCAGTGGAGAAAAAAAATCATGTAAAACTTAACAAATCACGTAAAAGTTGCAATGGGCTAAAACTTTCCCCTAAAATGAGAATCACCCATATGGAACAAAAATATAAATAAACAACAAATTGGCTTTATTGAGGTAGAAACGGTTTCATAATAACTAGTTTCAAGATTATAATTAGAAAAAATTAAATAGAATAAATGTTAATTATAAAGAATCTTACATCATAATACATTAGACGTCTTGTCATAAGTACACTTGTGTATATTTCAGCGTTATGTAAACTTTTTTTCATGAACAATGATTCTGAATCATAACGGCTAATTTGCATGGGTACTTGTGAAATTTCTTGACTGTTGGTATTTGAATGATATTCCTTATAATGGCATCATCATCATCATGTGTGGCACAACATCCCGTTACCGAGACTGGGCCTCCTCCAAGAGCCTCCGCCAGTTGGCTCTGTCTTCTGCTGCAGCTCTCCAGTTCCGTACACCAAGCAGGGTTCTCGCATCATAGGCCACGTTGTCCAACCATCTCGTCCTCGACCTTCCTACCCGTCTTACGAGGTGCAGCTCCTCCATCCATTATTATAATGGCATCACACCACCAAAAATATTAGCTATTCGATTGAATTTGCAATTTTGCTAGGAACTCCAGCCCGAACATACATAATTCTGTAATAAATGTATGTAATAAATTCCCTTTTATGTTCATTGTTTTTTTACGTTTCCATCCACTTATTTACTCATTCATCCATACTTTAATTCATTCCCTTTCTTTTCAAATTTTTCTTAAGATTTGTCTTATTTTATTCATGATTACATGTATCATCCATTCTTTTTATTGTATTCAGGTTTTTCTCATCTACATTTATTATTACTCTTCACTCTCATATAATTGTAAGTGCCTAGAACTTGAATTGACCATTATATAATCATTGTCCGTCCTACGCATTCAATCTCCTTCAATTCAAGTCATCTATCCACTCCCTCTCAACAAGATCTCGTCCTTCTGATCTTTATACCCCTTTCCAAAAATCGGCCTCATTTCAACACTCCTTTATTGTCTGCTCCACCACCTTTTGGAATTCCATCCCACTTAAAATCCGCCATGCACCATCCTTATCCATATTTAAAACCTTCTTATTCCAATTCCTCTTTACAATTCAATCAGATGCTGGGTAGCCATTTATCATGTATATTATATAGGTATATAATCTAGTCTATATGTATATTTTCTTTTATTTTCACCGATCAATCTACATCTTGGGATTTAGATTATATAGGACTTGTATAATGTTTACAATACTATTATTGTACTCTTTGAACATATTAAATTACATATGTAAATCATTTAAAGTAAATATTTATCCTCTCTTTTATTATTATTTTTTTCATTAATACAATGGTATGACAATAAAAGTAATTTGTCGTTCATTTCAAATTTCAATTAAAATTCCATAGTTTATTGTTTTTAGTAACTATCTTGCTGTATTGGGACCTTATTGCTCATATTATGTCTTTAATATATCAGTATAGTTATGTAAATCCTTCTGATATTACTTATTTTTTAGTTTTTTTTTTTTTTGTAATATGCATTTTGGCCAGATGTTATGTTAATTTTTATGTACAATATTGTTATTCTCAAGGGACTTTGTCCCAGAATAAAGTTGATTCTTCTATTCTATTCTATTCTATACTCCCCCATTTTGTGGGAATTTTTAAATTGCAGAAAGACAACTAAGCTTGACCTTAAATGAAGCATTTAACTTTATAAAGTTAAATAAGGCTATAGGCTATTCTTAAAAATACTAAAAGTTTGGTGACATCAACAGATAATAAAAGAAACTTTAATAAATAGTACCTGTGCATGCTTGGAAACCCAATGACGAAGAACGTTTAGAACCCTCATTGTAGCCGCTGTTGACATAACACTTTCCTTCCGTCGCCTGGATCCTGGTCTACTCTCTCGGCTGACTGTACACGGTCCGGTTCCATTATCACGAGGATTGGAAGAAGCTGAAGTAGCAATGGCAAAGGCAGCAGCAGCTGTAGATGTGCTACTCCTGAGGAATATTAAGGATTAGTAATGATATTTTACTTATTTTTAGATTTATAAAAAAAATCTTCGAGCTTGTATAAAAATTTAGTTTAATGAACCAAGCAGGAAAATAATATACAAAATATTACCATTCTTACTTCTTCTTTGTATAGAATAGAATATATTAATGGTATCTAAGAAAGTGATCACAAGAAATTACAATAACCCAAATTCCTAATGCCCTACTGTGCCCCATAATTAGCTCAAGTATCTTCAAATAATGTAATTTTTTCACAATTTTCATGATTACATCTCGACAGTTTATCGAGTAGAATAAACTGTCTTCATAGAGCGAGCATCTTTTCTTAAGCCATAATGAAACCTTCAAATTATTTCCAAATAACATTACAGGTTGAACGCACAAGTTATGAAATGGCAGCTCAGTGATGGCCAGGTTAGACTTTAAATGTAAATAAATAATAAGCTTCCTTCTTGATTAAAAGGTTTAAGCTTTTTCTAGAACAAAACCCTCTGTTGGAAACTATATGAACAAAGTATCCAAAAGAAAATTTTAAAATGCCTATAATTGTTTTTATTATAGTGCTCTTGAGATCAGTGTGTTTCATACCCTCCTACTAACAGTTTTGCTAAGAGTAAGTTGAACATTTATGTTATCTTATCTGTATTGTTATCTTTATAGTTAAATAAAGAGTTTAGAATTTTTCTAAGGTACGTCCATTACTAGAACAATTGACTTTCGCCGTGCCCATCACTAGTGCGAAAAGGTGTTTTTTTAAATGGAGATTATACCTGCGTAGCTGTATATTTTTTTCAATTTTAAAATGTTAAAGGAGAACCTAGAAGAGATTTTAAAAGAAAAAGGAGACCCTAGAGATTCTAAATGTCCAACAGAGAAGTACATAACTATAACAATTATGGCGGCATAAGCCAAAAAAGAGCTTTCTTAGCTATGTCCAACACTGGTGCTCTTACTCTATTGCTAAAAAATGAATAGGTATATTTCTGTTTGATGCTTTTTTAACCGTTTTAATTAAAATACCCCTTTTTTGTTCTGCTAGGAATTTCCTTATTTTTTGTTAAACATAAAAACAAAAAGTATTATTTATTACTTAGTAAGCAACAAATGTTATTTATTTTTAATAAATTATTAACTAGAGGATATTCAACATGAAGAATACTCATTTTGTAACCTACAGTTGTTTTTTACTTTTCTCAATCTTAATCTAGTAAAAAAAAACTGTTTTCTGCAATAAAAAACAAACAAAAAAATTGAATATATTCTGTGTCATAACTGCATCAAAAATTAAATTTTAAATTAGAAAGATTCAAGATTGCTTTTCAAATAGTTCATATTCTTTAAATTTGAAAGACTCTCATCTTACCTCAGTTGAAGTTACAGAAGAGCAAGAAAAAGGATGATACTATTGCAAAATATTTTATTCATTTTTAATTACCTTAACCATATTTAAAACTACTATTTTATCATGAAGAGAAGAATAGTTGGGGTGGTCAGTCAAAAAGGAAGGCAAAAATAAATGATAATATTTATTTTTACATATGAAGACGTTTCGACCTGAAGTTCAGGCCTTCATTAGGGCTAAGAAAATAACCAGATAACAAGGTATGAGAAACATAAGTAGTGATGGTAAAAAAAAAAAATAATAAATAATAAAAAATAAAAAAATAAAATAAATAAATATAAAGTAAAATGAAATTCTTAGAATAATGATTATTCTAACAATTTCATTTTACTTTATATTTATTTATTTTATTTTTTTATTATTATTTTTTTTTTTTTTTTTTACCATCACTACTTATGTTTCTCATACCTTGTTATCTGGTTATTTTCTTAGCCCTAATGAAGGCCTGAACTTCAGGTCGAAACGTTGGCATATGTAAAAATAAATATTATCATTTATTTTTGCCTTCCTTTTTGACTGACCACCCCAACTATTCTTCTCTTCATTGTCCACGACAGTCAACCAATTACCAATTATTATTTTATCATATTTCTTCCAACAACAAATTAATAACTTTTATAATAGATTATTGAAATATAATAATAATTAGGTGAACATTCATAAAATTTGACAACATTAAATGCTCAAGCGACTTAGAAATAACAGATAAATACAAAAGTATACATTACACATAAAACTAGTCATGCATAAACAAATAACATAAGTAAACTATATTCATATAAAGTACACTTAAGAACTAATAAAAAAGCATGCAAATAAGAATGAATCTTGCAAAGAAAATATTTAAGAATTATCAAGTAGAAAAAAAGTCAAAAGTTGTACAATACAAAGATGCAAAAATGTTTAGAATATCAGTAAAAAATATTTTATAGATAGGTCAGTAATTATATGTTTTGGTTTCTGGTTCCAGAATCAATAGTAAATTTAACATTAACCTATTCAATAAAAACATATGTCGCTTAATTAATGATAACAAAAATGAAAGAAACAAAAAATATTATTAAGATATCACTGATCAAATCTGATTCTCTCAAATAGCAGTCAATTTTTTACCAAAACAGACAGTATAAATGTAGAATAAAGATAACACATCTAAAGTTGTGTTTAGATTTTTAACAAACTATGAGAGACACAATTATCTAAATTAACTAATAGCAACATTAGCTAAACAAAAATTTATTTAAATTTCTCTTGTTACTGACAGCAAATGGAAAATATCAAAAACAAGAAACAAAACACTAGCATATGGTTTAAAATCATTTAAAAATTTGTGCTGTCAATGGTTTAGGAAATGTATAAACGCAACTTAATATTAACAGACAAATAAAATTAAGATACTGTATTGGTTATTTACTGAGATTTGAGAGATTCAAGGATTTGTTTCATAACCTTCCAATATCATAATTGTAGGCCACTTTATTGTATGTATTTAATGACTAACAATGAAGAAGATAGAACATTTATATTCAGTGCAATAATAGATTCATTTTTTATTTCTAAGATGCATATTAATCTTAACAACTTCTTTCCACTTTACTTAAATCGACATTTAGGACTATATATCCATCTTTATGACATTAATAACTCTTTATTGATGTACAAAATTCATTGTAAAATTTTATAAATAGAGAAAATCCGACTAAATCAAGACAAATCACAGCACATCACATTTACCTTTCGACGTGAAAAATGCCCTCCAGTTTTCCTTGACAATACACAGATTCCACAGACATACACCATTCACAACCATGGTCTAATATTTGACCGAAAAATGACGTGGGACCCACATATAACAAAGAAGAGAAAAACGCTAAATCAAAGACTCAGAATTCTGAACACACTTCTTTCAAACATTCAAAACTAAAACTTATACAGAAATTGAACACATACAATTACTTATTAAAACCTATTTGGACTTATGCATCACAGATATTTGGAACAGCTAAAAAGATTCACATATACAAACTTCAAATCTTTCAAGCAAAAGCATTCAGGACAATCACAAAAGCACCTTGGTACGTTAGCAACATAACCTTACATACTGACTTCCATATGTCGACTGTTAATGAACACATACTAACTCATTACAAATGGTTCCATAACAACTTACAAGGACATCCTAACACACTTATCAATGACATGACCATTACGCAAATGCCAGGTAACGCCCGTAGCAGGCTGAAGAGAAGCTGGATGAGGGACCTCCTCGCCTAATGTAGATATCACGCCAGGAGGAGGTGCCGCTGGGTCCTGCTCTTTCTCATGTCTTACAAGCCATTATTTTTTTTAACTATCATCAAATTCACTGGTTGTCATTACCATTATGACAGGTGTGAATAAAAAATAAAAGTTAAAAAAAAATTTATTAAAATAGATGTCAGGTCACAAGAAAAAGATGTAATCAATTTCTCTGTTGTTACTTTTGCTGGAAACACAGGTACTCTGTGGTGACAGAATGTCAAATCACATAATTTTTCAAACAAATAAAGACGAATCTCAACTCTATTCTAAAACAAACCTTAAACAAATTGATATGTAATTAAATTTTTTATAAAAGTGGGGTATCTGTGGTATAGTTGTGTAATAATAAACATGTATCGCAAATAATCCATGATTTAATAAAAAACACAATTTAGCTTTGTTTCGCGGTTCTAAAGTACCCTTTAAATTGTTTTGAGAAAGACAGACTCTCTTTGCATTTGAAATTAAATTAGACAGTTTATTATGAAGTAATTATCTGAATTATTAAATCATTTTTGAGTTATCGCTTCCTATGAACAAAATTAGCTGTAAAATTTCGTCGCAGGAGCCAGAAACACAAGTGATTGCCCTTATTAGGACCTACTTGGCATACAAATTGGTTAATTTCTGCAGAGAATTGGGATAAATTGTGATTGTATTTCTATGTATTAGAGATTAGAGTAATCTCAATCTCATATATCTTCTTTGTCATTTAAATTCTATTGCAGGTCAGATTTTTTTTTATTTTTCTGCAAATAGCCAACTGATATAAGTTTAACGATACTAGACTGACAGTAAATGTAAATGATATGAAACTAAAAAAAAAATTTTGAACACAAAGAACAAACTAATAAAAATTTAAACAATACCGGAGTAATCGAAAATGTGCCTCATATTCATATCAACTTTCAATACTTATATTTTTGTTAAGAACAAATGTTTGTTAAAATCCTTTTACTCTAAATAAATAATAAGAGCAATATGCCCATAAGGTATGGACTTATAGTGAAGGGATACCCTTTATATCTCGTAAGAAGTATTGAGATTTTATGATATTAAAAATCTTTTCTTTTTACTTTTTTTTTTTTTAAATCTAGGGAGCAATGAGGTTTTTGTGCATGTTAGGGAATTTAAAACTAACCTCAAGATTTTTGGTTCAACCTCGGCCGGAGAGAAAAACTGTCCTCCTACCTTCATTGAGGAACCGCTCAGCCTTCTATATATCGAAGTAGTACCAGAAGATTCCCTGAGAAATAAATGCCATCCAAAGCACAAAAGCATAGA